GCCGAGCGGAGCCGGGGTCCCAGACTCTAGCCGTCACGCCAGGAGCCCCACAGAGTCGAAATTCAGAGACGCTTCCGCGCCTGTGGTGGAGCAGAGGCTTTCCCATTCGGTCTCCGCCTCTTTTTCTGCAGCCGCACCTCCGTCGGGAGAGCAGGTAACTTCCCTTCCAAGGTCATTCTCGGAGCGGGGCGGCGCTAGAGGCCCGCCCACGTCCTCCAATTTGACAGTGGAGGTGGAGACGCGCTCCGCGGGAGGCTGGACGGCGATCTCAGGGCTGCAGGGGAACCCTGTAGCGTTCCCCCAGGCGGTTGGCGGCTCCAGCATTGGGGCGCATTAGCTGGTACTAGCGAGCGTACGCTTCGCTGTTCCCTGCACCCCCGGGGGTGAGTTTCCACAGCACCCAGCCTTGGGGCGGGGACCGCTCGGCCCTTCCCGGCCAGCTCCGCAGGTGAACTCTACCGCCTGCGCCGGGCATGTCCCGGGCCGCGTGGTCGGCTGTCACCATAAGAACGTCTTGTGCCCAGACGGCGCCTGCCCCAGATGGGAAGGGGTGGTGAAGCAGCTTGGAGCCCTAAGATCCTCGGAGCCCCCTGTCTGACCATATGAAGCCACAAAAGCTTGATGAAATTGGGACCCCTCCCCCACTTTCTTCTCATTTTTGATTATTCAGGCGTTGGTGTTCATCAGAGAGAGAGGCGTGGATGTATTTACACGATATGAATTGGAGTCTTTCCACCTTTACCTTTTGAGGGCTGCTTACATCTCATGGTGACAGGTGCAAATCACAGCACAGAAGGGCAGTCAGTATGAAGCCAGTGAAAAAAAAGAAAACCGAAGAACCTGAATTGGAGCCCCTGTGCTGCTGCGAATACATAGATAGAAATGGGGAAAAGAACCACGTGGCTGCTTGTTTGTGTGATTGTCAAGATATCGATGAAGGGTGTGATAGGTAAGAACAGAGCTTTTCTTGATGCTGACCCTACTGGTCCTTTTAAGAACTACCATGTGTACTTTTAGCTTTGCCATCCAGAACGCTGGATTTTGCTCTTGATTCCATTTTCAAGGATCAAAAATTGAGAATTGTTTTCTATGTCAAGTGTGGGGATTTTATAAAGATTGTATGCAGTAGTGTACACTGGTCCAGCTCAATTTACTAGAACATTATTAATTTTCATTTAAAGAGAGGTGATGGTGATGATGATGATGATGATGATGATGATGATGATGGAGAGAACAGGCAGATAAGGGTATACCAAGCAAGTTGTTATGTATATTAAAAAAAAAAACTGCAAGCCAGCAGAATCTGTAAGTTTAAAATAAACACAGTAGTTCCAGAAAGTTCCTATATTCTCAGTAGCCTTTCATTAGAGACTGACTACATTCTACCTGGTTTCAAAGCACCTTGAGGTTTGAAAAATCATTTTTGTGTCGTTGCTGGTTTTGCACCTTGTTTCTGAGGAGGAGCTCCAGCCAGAAGGCATGAACCTCCTCTGGATCTACTGTTTTCAGGGTGAGCAGTGACGCCATCTTGATTGATCACATCATATTGTGCATTTATTTCCACCACTCTCAATGATAGGAATTACTGTCCAAGAAGATAATTTTTAACATCACTGAAAAAAATGTATGTCAAACAGGAATAAACTGTTTTTTACCTACTTTCTGAATGGAAAACAAGAATGTGAGAAGAGTAGGGATATTGGACATTTGATTTAATTACTTCTGATTTAAAAAGTCATTTCTCCTGCAGATTGTTAACTTAGTCCTTGGTGCATTAATCTAGCCATGAAAAGCGTCCTCTGGGCACCACTGCAGTCTTGTACTAACGTTGTCTCATAAAGACTCCATTGCTTCTTTATAATTCTTTAGATTTAGTCTAAAATCCATACTGAGAAAATGGAACACTTTGCACTAATAAATGGTAAAATTATGCTTTTTCCATAACCGCTGTCACTTAGACCACAGCCTTTCCATTAACTTTGCTTTTTCTCCTTCCTATTCCTTAAGACTGAGGCTGTCCCCTGAACTCTCTCCTCTGCTCTCTTTATACCTTTCTCCTTTGGAGATAGAATTCCAGTGTTTCCACTGTCCCTGCTCCTCTGTATGATTCTCATGTAGTTACTCCCACTCACTTCAAAGTTCTAGTCCTACTTAATAAAATTGTCTAAAATCAAAGTTTTTCCTATTTTCTATTTTTCCATATTAACCTTAATCCATTCAGGCTTCTATAACAAATACCTTAGACTGGGAGTTTATAAATGACAAATTTATTGTTCACCTTTCTGGAGACTGAGAAATCTGAGATCAGAGTACTGGCAGAATCAGTATCTAGTGAGAGTCCTATTCCTCATAGATAGCACCTGCATCCCCACATGGCAGAAGGGGTAAGTAATCTTTGTTGGGCTTCTTTTCTAAGGGCACTCACTAATCACATGAGAGTTCTGCCTTTGTAACATAGTTGTCTCCTAAAGATCCCATCTCTTAATACAGTTGCCTTGAGGATTAGGTTCCAATGTATAACTTTGGTGGGATACCAGTGTTCAGCATTCCACCACTGACCCCTCAAATTCATGTCCTCACATGCAAAACACATTCATTCCATTCCTCAAACCTCAAAATTCTTTATTTTTCCAGGATCAACACAAAAGTCTTAAGTTCAAATATAATTTAAATATCATCTAAATCAGATATGAGTAAGATTCAAGTACAGTTCAACCTGAGGCAAATTATCTCCTAGCTATGAACCTGTGAAATAAATAAATTGTGTGCTTCTGAAATACAGTGGTGGGACATGAATAGAACAGACATTTCTAGTTCAAAAGTAAGGAGGAGAAAGGAATGAAAGCTCCTAGCCCTATAGGGAAAATAACATCCAAGCTTGAGAATAAACTTGGGCTTGAAGTTCTACCTTCCAGACATACTGAGGTGGAGAATGGGCCCCTACAGCTCTGAGTACTCCTCCCTCTATAACTTGCTGGGTGTGGCCCTCACTGAAGCTCCAATGAGTTGGAATCATGTGCTTATAGCTCTCTTTCCCTGGCTAGAGTTGCATACTCGTGGCTCTGCCAGTCTGGGGGCCCCCCAGGCAGCCCTATTAGGTATAGGAAAATGGCCCTACTCCCATGACTGTTGGCTTTGCCCTAGTAGGGGCTCTCTGTGGTGGCTATATCCCTGTGTCAGTTCTTTGCCTTGGCCTTGAGGCTGTCATGTCTCTACAGCTCTTAAGAATTGGTACTTATGACTACCACCAAGATTTACCCCTAGAAACCCTTGGAGTGGTGGACACTGTAGCCTATACTGCACTTGGGTCCACTGGCGTCACACCTGGGCCTGCTGTGAAATGCTGCACCAGAATTTAGGGGTAAGAGACTTAAGGTGGCACTGGGCAGCAAGCCCTGAATTCTCACAGGTACACTGGGTCTTTCCTATGCAACTGTTCTGTCATCAAGGCCCTGGCATTCTAGACTTGTATTGGAAGTGGAGCTTTCAGGATCATTCTTCCATTGCCTTAGTGAATGGCATGACTGGTCTATATACTGATCTCCTCACCCACACCCTTGGTGTTTGCCCCCAAACATACTTTCTCATTTGTTACAATATAGACAGGCTGAGAACTTCCAAATCTAAGTTCTGTTTCCATTTTGATTATAAATTCTATTTCCTAAAGTCTCCTCACATTTTATTATAAGCATTCAAGAGAAGCCATGCAGCACCTTGAACACTATTCAGAGATTTCTTCCATCAAATATCCAGTTCCATCCCTCTTGACTTATAACTTCTACAAAACACTAGGACATGAACATAATTAAGCCAAGTTCTTTGTCACTTTGTGTCAAGCCTCTTCTTTCTTCTAGTTTCTCATTTTCACTTAGACTTCATCAGAAAGGCCTTTAACCATTCATATTCTAAATATTCTGCTCATGATCTCTTAGATAGAAATTATCTAAGATTGAGGCCTTTTCTCTACCGTTCTCTTCTTTGAGCTGTCACCAGAATTGCCCTTACACAGTAATGTAGTTTTTTTTTTTTTTTAAAGGATGCACTTCAAAACTCTAGCCTCTGTCCAGTTCTGAAACTGCTTCCATATTTTTAGGTATTTATTATAGCACCACCCCACTTCTTAGTACTGATTTCTATCTTAGTCTCTTTGGGCTATAACAAAATACCTTAGACTGGGGAAGTTATAAATGACAGAAATTTATTGCTAACAGTTCTGAAGACATGGGAAGACCTGGGCACGAGCACATACTGTGATTGGTGAGGGCTGCTGTCTACTTCATAGATGGTGCCTTCTTGCTGCATCCTCACATGGAAGGAAGGCAAATGAGCTCTTTTGGCTTCTTTTATAAAGTATTAATCCCATTTGCTCACATGTATGACCTGATCACTTCCTAAACTCCCCCCTCCCTCCGCTTTTTGGTACCAGGGATTGAACCGAGGGATGTTCAACCACTAAACGACATCCCCAACCCATTTTTTTATTTTTTATTTTGAGACAGAGTCTCGCTAAGTTGTTTAGGCCCTCACTCAGTTGCTGAGGCTGGCTTTGAGCTTGAGATTCTCCTGCCACAGCCTCCCAAGCTGCTGGGATTATAGATGTGCACTACCATACCCACCCTGACCCCTTTTTTTTAAGACAGGGTCTTACTAGGTTGCCCAGGTTGGCCTTGAACTATTGGGCTCCAGGATCCTTCTGTCTCAGCCTCCCAAAGATTAGCTGGAACTATAAGTGTGCATGCCACTGTTTCTGGCAGTCCTATCTCTTAATACCAATGTGTTGAGGATTAGGTTTTAGCACGTGAATATGGGGGAACATAGACATTCAGACCATAGCATAGCCTAAGTGTGCAAAAGTGTCAACAGACACCATTCTGTTTATTAGGGTCAGGCATTTAACTCATACTGGTTTGATCTCCATTCTTCTTTGTGCAGAGCCCTGTCCCTGCTAAAGTGATGTGCTTGTCCAGGACAGGTCTTGTGCTACACTCATTCCTCTTCCTTTCTCCCTTTCTCTCCACCCACATAAATGCTAGCTGGCTATCAGGATCAAGTACAGATCCGTTTTTTTTTCTACTAAGACCCCTCTGATGACTCCACCTTCTTCAGAACTCTTTTTATAATGTTTGATCATAAGAATTCATTAGATGATTATTGTTGCTTTGTCCCTTATATAGTATTTTGTAGAATTCTCATTTTGTTTGTACAGGCTGTGATTTTTTGAGATTGTTTTAAGCATATACACACCCATATCTATATATTTCTTGTATTGAGTATGTGTATATACTTATTAAATACCTATGTGTTTGTTTAAGAGATAATCTTGACTATTAAATTTCTAAATATTATTTTCTTGTTCCTGTTTTTTAAAGTCTGAAAAGCTCATGCTTAGTAGTAAGGAAATAAAATGCTTGGCTTTTAGTCTCTTATCATTGTCCTGCTATTTGGCATTCAGTGTTCTGTAGTTTTGAATTCAGCAGACCTATATGAAGTGTCTTCTCTTTGTGCTCTTTCTGAATAGATGGCTTACGTGTAAATCAGTGCAGCCAGAGACTTGTGAAAGAATCATGGATACAATTTCTGATCGCCTCCGAATTCCGTGGCTTAGGGGAGCCAAAAAAATTAACATTAGCATCATTCCTCCACTTGTCCTTCTGCCTGTCTTCCTTCACGTGGCTTCGTGGCATTTCCTCCTGGGGGTGGTGGTTTTGACCTCCCTTCCTGTGCTGGCACTGTGGTACTACTACCTCACTCACAGAAGGAAAGAACAGACTCTGTTTTTCCTGAGCCTTGGACTGTTCTCATTGGGCTACATGTACTATGTGTTCCTGCGGGAAGTGGTTCCCAGAGGGCATGTGGGGCCCACTCGGCTGGCTGTTCTTACCTGCGGGTTGTTTCTGATACTCTTAGCCTTGTATAGAGCCAAGAAGAATCCAGGCTACCTCAGCAATCCAGCAAGCAATGACAAATCCCTAAGCAGCAGCCAAAACGAATGTCTGAGCAAAAAAGGGCAGGAGAAGACCAAAGGGTTTCCCGGAGCCGACACGTCGGGGAGTCTCAACAGCCGCACGCTGAAGGATGATCTTAAGGGCTCCTTCAGGATGTTGGCCAGCAGCCCCACCAAGGTGAAGGAGGACTGGTGTGCCAAATGCCAGCTGGTGCGACCAGCCCGGGCCTGGCATTGCCGTATTTGTGGCATCTGTGTAAGGAGAATGGATCATCATTGTGTCTGGTATGTTGGAAAAATTTGGAGGCCTGGAAAGTGTGAATTCATGTACAGCTCCCTAGTCATATTTGATCTTTGTGCTAGCCTAAAATTCCTCTCTTTCCCAGCTTTACACCTTGTAGATATTTGTGGGCTTTAGGGATGTTCCCACTTAGTCATCAGTTTTTTGAATTTCACAGATTTAGTTTCTTCAGTTATTTCCTGAAGGAGAAAAACGCTTTGGGTGTGGTTTTCCTTTTTCTTTCTTTTTCATTTTGCAATTTTCCTTGGAACTACTCATTTATTTTCTCCTTTCTAATAGAGTTGAATGTTTTTTTAAAAACAGAATTTATCAGCATATGTGTATTTTTCTCTGCTATTCTTTTTGAACAGAGGGCTCGGGAACATGTTCTCCTATTTTTAGATAACTCTTTTGTTCTCTTGCCATACACCCTTAATGATTTTTGATGCTAACAGTAATTTCCACTCAACATTATGGAGCTGAAGCGCTATCAGATAACTACTTATTTGCAGAAGGATGGGCTTCTTTTATACCTTCTAGCTGGCCAGTAGCTGAGGAACTCATGTAAGGTTCATTAGATACACAGTGCAACATTTAAAGATAACGTCTGCAGCTTTATGGAGTTACTCTACACTGAAGGGAGAATTGAGTATTCAGGTACAGGACTGCTGTTAAGTAGCATGTTTGTAGCTTCATTGCTCTTAAGGTAGTTGTGATAATTGAATTGTGTTTTTTGGCCATATAGCTTACCTCTTCTTAGCAGGGGATGCAGGAGAAGGTGAGGGTGCTGGAAAGGCCAGGAGGGCATCGGAGGGGAACTCAAGTGTACAAGCCAAATACAGGGGCAGCTCTTTTCTGGGACTTTGTCTTTAGGGTAAAGGTGTTTCCATTTTTAGATATTCTACTTCTTTGTCTTCATCACTTATTCCTGTGTGTGTATATATGCTAGTTTGCGAAGGGCCTCACAGCCTCTCCCAAGTGAAATCTACTTGGCCTATCTGAGCATCTTGGTGTGCAGTAGGCAGGAGAGACTGCTTGTACATCCTGCCCTACAAATGGCCATGACACCGAACTATTTTTACTTGACAAGTAGCCTGTATGTTATCAGGTTACCCTACACTATGTTTCTAACCTCTTTGATCCTTTTAATAATCTCCTGTACTGAATACTTCTGACTTAGCATTTTTAAAGATTTCATAACTCTACCGTGTAGCTTCCTTCTTTATTTAGCATGGTGATGGTACTATTGACTCTCTTTGTCACTTGCTAATAGACTTTGCTTATTAATACCAAGGAAGAGGAGTTAGGAGTGTAGCTCTATGGCAGAGCCCTTGCCTAGCATGTGCAAGGCGCTGGGTTCAATTTCTAACATGAAATAATATCAACATATGTGTATATATTTTAAATGATTCCTTAGCTAGGTCTGCTTTTTGCTTTTTTAAAAAATTAAATGATAATGATTCTACTTGGTAAAGAACATAGAATATAGGTATTGCTCAGTTTGACAAGTTTTAATTTTTTAAAGTTGAAAAAGAGAACTTAACATTTTAATAACTGAATTACATTATTCTTATTTTAAAAGCTTTCTTATTGTTTAAGTTATATAAAGAACCTTTAAAATATGTTTGCTTTTCATCCCCATGCTGTTTCTAGGATAAACAGCTGTGTTGGAGAATCAAATCATCAAGCATTTATACTTGCTCTTTTGATCTTCTTGCTCACTTCGGTGTACGGGATAATGCTGACCTTGGACACCATTTGTAGAGATAGAAGTGTCTTCACTGCCCTTTTCTATTGTCCTGGAGTTTATGCAAATTACAGGTGAGATATGTATCCCAAAGTTGATACACTCAGCCAGGAAGTAATGGATGTTGTCATTAACAGGAGCTGTTATTTGCTGTTAAGTTAGGATTTGTTCAAAATGAAGGACAGGTTATAGGGATCCTGGGTATCCCTGAAATTGCCAATAAAATTGTGTTGTGGTTATATGCATTTTTCTAGGGTGATGTCAAAAGGATTGTTAATACAAAAACTGAGGAGCTAGTACTGTACAGACAGGCCCAGGCTTAATCAGGAACTTTCAGAGTCAAATGACCACTTGCACACCCAAGGTAACAATAGTGAAACTGAAATAATAAATATAACCAGCAATACCAGGAATCATTTTTCACTTTATTGCTACTTTCAGGTGCTCTTTAGTCCAACCTTAATTTACTGCTTCTGATTCTTTTGAAAAGTGCTTATGATCTTTATAACCTTTCTTTTCTTTCTTACTTCTCATGGTTTTTCCTGTTCTTTTTTTTTTTTTTAATCACTCATGATTACTATGGTATCTAGGTCAAAATTTCCTTAGGCATTATTAGGTGGGGGCCTGTTTATACCCTTAAAGTTTTCAATGCAGTGGCAAAAACTGGAACTCTTCAGAGTTGGCCTTGTCACCCCCACCCCTCAACACCATGCGCTTCCCTGCAGCATTCTTTTTCCTTTCCTCCATTGTCCGCAAAGGTTGTGGTACTTTCCTCTTTCTTTTCATTCGCCTTTCTTCAGAACCATCCCTGCTTTCTCCACATAGTATCCTATGCGAATTCTTTTTTTTTTTTTTCAGTCTATGGACAGATTTCCCCACTGTTACTCTAGATTGGGACATTTATGGGTGTTATTAAAATAGATTGGTTCTCTTCCTCAGGGCACAATTATTTCCTAGACGACTGGAGACTGTTATCTAGTTTTGGAATTCTTAGCTGACACTGTGGGTAATGAATGTCCTTCCTGCAGCAGAGCCTGTTGCCATGACATCATGGAACCCCAATTTTCTCTCTCCATGTATAACCCAAAAGAACTCCAATTCCTGTGATAACAGACTCTGGTTCCATGACTCTCCCTGTAGAATCCTGCATCCTAGGAAACACCATCATCATCCAATGTTCATTATGTGGTGCCTAATGTAGAGCCCATCAGAAATGTACATCAAAACACCAGTTATGATTCTACCCTTCCACATAGAGATCAGCAGCCCTGCACATTCTGCCACCCATTGAAATCCTATTCCATGTATATCCAAGGAGAGCAAATCTGTCCTAGGAATTTTGCATTAATAGAACGCAAGTTTCAAGGATCTCCATGTAGAGCCCTTCAGTGATGTGGAAACACCCATCACAAATCTCCAGTCCCTGATCTCCAATATGAGTCCATCAACCATGAGAATCCACATCATAGAACGAGTGAAATGGTTCTCCACAAAGAAACAACATTCCTATACAAGAAAACCTCTATGCTGTGACTGTAAACATAGTGCCCAGCATCCTGGGAATTGTGCAATTAATAGAATCCTAGTTATTTGGATCTTTGTATAGAGCACAGGAAGAGCTCCAATTATGAAGTTAATTTTCCTTAGTCTTCATGTAGAGTCCAGGAACACTGCGAATCCTGCCATCTTAGAACCTTAGTTCTAAGAACCTTAGTTCCCTGGGACTTCCATGTACCACCTGCAGCATTCCAGGCCCAGCCATCATTGAAGCCCATTTCCCTGCATCTCCACATAGAGTCCATCAGCCTGTGAGTCCTGCCAACATAGAACCATAGTGCCTTGCTTGAACATAGAGTCTAGCAGCACTGCATATCCTGCCGTCAGAAATTCAGAGTTCTCTGAAATTTCCTTATAAATTCAGCAGCTCTGCAAGTTCTGCTAACAGAAAAATCCAGTTCCTTGCTTTCCATAAAAAAAAGAAAGAAGCATCCCTGACAATCTTTGCACTATAGAATTCCAGCCCCTGCATCTACATGCAAACCCTGGTAGTTCTGAATATCCTTCTACCATAGATATCCATATCCATCCGCTGCACATAGAGTTCAGCAGCCCAGCATATCTTGTCATCATAGAATCCCAGTTCTATGGAAATACATGAAACCCCCTGCAACATGGGAGTCCAGACATTCCTTCTAGTCCCTCTATTTCCCTGGCATTCAACATTTATTCCAGCAGACCTAGGAGACCTGCCATTGTAGAATCTTAGTTCTCAGGCTCTCTACATACAAGCTACAAGATCTGTGATTCTTTCCATGATAGATACAAGTACTCTGACTCTATTCTAGATACAGTGTCTTGGGATTATAGACAGCAATTCCTGTCTCTCCAGATAAATCTCAACTCTGCTCATCCTACCTGTCTGTGCTCTGTGGGGTGATTGAAATGAACTAAGGAATACAACCCCACTGTTGGTTTTTACTCCACTCTGCAGGTGATTCATGTCACATCATCTTTTTTTTTCTTTAAATACTTTTTTAGTTGTACGTAGACACAATATTTTTATGTGGTGCTGAGGATCGAACCCAGTGTCTCACACATGCCAGACAGGTGTGCTGCCACTGAGCCACAACCCCAGCCTCTCATGTCACCTCATTTTGATGGTGAGGTTCTTGGATTTAATCATTTCTGAGGCCCTTTTCAGCTTTACAAAAGAAGATTCTGAGTGAATTTATCTCCAAATAACTCTCCATTTGCTCATGTTTGAATGGATATAATCAAATAGCATGTGTGATTAGGCATCTCCTCCTCACAGCTTCATTGATGAGCCTAAAAGGAGCTTTGCTGCCTTGTAAGGTAATTTGTTTTAGGAAGCTAAGTTGGAAATGTTGTAGTGCTCCTGCAGATCTTATAATTGAGGCTACTAAGTATTGAAACTTGCTTTCTACTTTGTGTTTGTCTGCATTGGACTAGAAAAAGAATGGAGATTAATAACTTAAGCACGGTTCCTAGGTTCCCATTGCAACTTCCTAGGGGACATTTTTGGCAAACTTATGGCATCTTCATTTTCTCCTATGTTAGGTACATTTTAGGAATTACACATTCATTCATCAAACAGATGTTGAATGTCATTGTGTCAGGGCTGTGTTGGTTGTGTGGAAGATACAAAATGTAAAAAACTGCCCTTGCTATTCTAGTATAACATACTAGAAACAGAGGCACTGATGATTATAAAATACAGTAGAACATGTTAGTTCTTGTAAATTAAACCAGCTATTGGTATTCTGAGGGTAGTAAGGTATTTTTAAGTTTGGAGGATTGGAAAAAATGGCAAAGTCCTTAGTAATAAGTAGAAAATGTATAAAATGTGAGAATGGTAAGGACTCTATGTGACAAAAATGGCAGTAGCCCTTTTCTCCGTTCGCAGCTCGGCTCTGTCCTTCACCTGTGTGTGGTACTCTGTGATCATCACAGCGGGTATGGCCTACATCTTCCTGATCCAGCTGATAAATATCAGCTACAATGTGACAGAGCGGGAAGTCCAGCAGGCCCTTCGACAGAAGACCGGGCGCCGGCTCCTCTGTGGGCTCATCGTGGACACAGGCCAGTACAATAGGGGCTTCCTGCGGAACTGGCAACAGTTCTCCACCCTGGGCACACGTGCATTCCACCACCCTGCTGAGGACATCGTCTGAAGTGCCTTCTGTGCGGCTCTGAGGAGTGGCTCCTCCCTCCAGCTCCTTTCCATTTTACACTTCAGTGTCCATGCAGGATGTTCATTTTTTCCCCAGTTCCTTACAGGCATTATAGGGCCATGCTCAGGTTTGGATACTGGACTGGAGAGAAATTAATTTTTCTGACTTCAAACATAAGAGATTTTTATATCGAAGCAGTAAAAGTAGAGCCATTCCTTTCCAGTCACCTTATTAATTGACTGAATCACCAGAGGTTGAAAAGGATGTGGATTGCTATTGCACAAATTGATAGAAGCAATTCCTATCCATTAGCATGGCAGGAGGAGTTTGGGATTAGGAGAGCTTCTAGTCCCTCTTTCAATTTTTTAATAGCCATGTGACCCTTAGTCGAGTCACTTTCCCAAGTCTCAGGTTCATCTGTAGCATGGGGTACTGATGCCTGCCCTGGCTACTTCACAGAAGATCATAGGAGGGTCACACAAGGGTCACATGAGGATGAGGGATGTGGAAAGCACTATGAAACAATTTAAGCACCTGAATATGTGAAATGTTATTAGGAAAATCCCAAGACTGAAGAAAAATGTTGTGGTTCAGAATACTAAAGCCAATATTATTAGGGTTATCAGTTTTCAGCATATAACATTGTACAGTTATGGGAATTTCTCCTTAAGTATTAGATATTAACTACTCACACGGGGCAAGAGATGATGAGATGGACTGATTCTGGTCATCTGATCTTAAAAGGACAGTTGATAACAATGATGAAGATAATTATTATCAATGTAATGTGTAGTGGTCATGAGTATAGGAAATGAGTTATTTTTATTTTTTTACGTGTTGTATTTACTGTAACAGACTCCAAAAGGTATTGAAGGATTGAAGGGTTTTTTTCCTCTTTCTGTGTTTCACCTGGTAAGGTACTAGCACACAAGATAGTGGCTGGAAGAAGAACAGCACTCTTATATTAGGGAGTCTTTTTCTTGGTAGGGAGACTTAATTAATATCAAGGGCTTGTTTTTTTTTTATTCTCTACATACATGTTTCAAGTGCTGTAACTTATAGCACCAAATTGCAAAAACCAGTCTAGTGGCAGTCACATTATTCTGGCATAAACTTTGAGGAGTTGATTGACATCTTCCCACTTAACTTACACATTATTTTACATTCACTCTTTCCTACATAAAGTATCTCACTAGGAGAGAAAAACAGGGTATATGTGGCTTACTTTCATTAATGCATTCTTCCCTCATTTTCTCCAAAGTAATAAGTTGTTTCTTTAATCATATCTCAAAACTGGAAATGTATTAGATGGAATATTTATATAGAATGGATCATTCTGCCATAGAATTAAGAGTGCATTTCATATAGGGAAAATACTCTCTTGAAATGTTTGATTTTTATACATGTACTGTTCTGCAATCCCAAAGATAATTCTTGAGTCCTTAAATTTGCCTTGGCTTGTTGCTTAATATAGGGGAAATACTGCTAGCTTTTTCCATCAGACAGTGCATCCTGCTTTAGCAATAGATTTGTACGTGTTAAGAGGAAATACTACTTCCTACAATTCTGGGTAGCACCATCCCTAGTCTTGTCATTAGTTGACATTCTTCTTAAGATATTGTCATTACATTTTTATTCAGGCATGTCATTACTCTCCCCAGAGATGGATTGTTTAACAAATGATAGGCTTTGTGTTCCATTGGGACGAGCCAAAGACCCAGCCTGGGAATGCCAGCAGACACTGTGGTTTCTACAGTGATGCCCTCTCTCTGGCCCAGAGTCAAATATTCTTTTAGAATTGAAGTTGGCTCTGATATAACTAATTTCTTTCTGTGTAGGTTTTAGATACGAGAGTTGGTAATAATGTCAAGGACAGCGTTATGTAGGCAGAAATTGGTAGTTTTCATGTGTCTTGAGCCCCAGCTAAATAGCTAACTCTGATTATCTAGTGATTGATAATAAAAATTCATAGATACATCAGTATAGTCACTTATAATAACTTGCCACACAGTAAATAGCAATCCAAATGTGATGTGAGCTGGGTGCAGTGGCACATGCCTGTAATCCCAGTGGCTTAGGAGGCTGAGGCAAGAGGATTGCAAGTTCAAAGCCGGCCTCAGAAAAAAGCAAGGTGCTAAGCAACTCAGTGAGACCCTGTCTCTAAATAAAATACAAAAAAAGTGCTAGGGATGTGGTCCCCAGTACCAAAAACCAAACCAAAAATATGATAACAGTAGTACAAAAAGACCAACGTCATCGAGGAGATTTAGGAATGATCACCATCTCTGTAACATCTCACTCCTGACATTGATTACCTGGATGAGGCAACTCAGTGTCCCTTACTTGGATGGGAACTGCTTACATATTATTCTGGCTTATTGGAATTAAGATACTTGGTTTAAATTCCTTAAGAACTCATGATTGTCAGTTTACTGAAAAAGCTCAAACCTGAAGGAAGCTCATTGTTTTTGTGGAGTAAAAGCTTTCTGAAGTGTTTAAACCAAAAGGAGCAGCAAACAAGGATCTACATGTGCACAGTGTTTCTGTAGTCTCTGCAACATCCTTGGTCTAGACTTTTGAGCCATTTTATAATCTGGAACCATCTAAGGGATTTCATTATAGGCCTTGGTTCTCTCTGGAGGGCAAGAGAATTTACTGTGGAGTGTTTGAAAGGACAAGATCTCTCTGTTTGAGGCATCCCAGAGAAATATCTGGTAGTTGTGGTAGTGAAGAATTGCCCTGCAAATCTATATCCCAGCAGTCCCTTGGCCATAAGAGCAAACTCCTTCCCATCACTCTCATGTCTCTCCCTTTCTGGTTGCCTCACATCCCCAGACTCTGTTAGGAAACATTCTGGATGTGAAGCTTAATAAATTGCCTGTTATATTCTGGCCACTTACAGAATTATCATACCACTGTGTATGATACCCACAAAATACTCCTGTTGTTCTAGCTGGGTGCTTCTGAAATGAGCAGACCATTAACAATGCCTCTTTGATAGGTTACTCTGATGCTGCTAAAGTAAAGCCTTAAGTTTGTTTTCAGGATAGCATACTGCTTCTTTCACCCTCAGCTACATTTGTGTTTGTCTTTAGGATGTTATAAATCTTTACTCTCCGAGTACTGTTTTCCTTTGGTGAGTGAAGTGATTATTGTCTTCCACTGTTCCATCTGCCTAGAAGTAAGATTGCTACAGACTTCCTCTTATGCAATAGTCCTTGGTACTTCTAATATTTTTAAAAAGAGAAAATTTTCTATACTAGAATCTCTCACTGCCAGAAAACACAATGCCAGTAAGTTTCTGTGTAATACTTAACAGACTTATTTCCTTGGTTAGGAAATTAGCTTTTTATTATGAAGCTCAATTAATAGAAGCAAAAATATGACACTAGAAGCACAGTTTTAACCAAGATATTTAAAAATCAATATTCTGTGAGGTTTAAGGATCTCTGTCAACTAGGTAAATAGGTTTATATGAATTATTTCATTTTAGCCATATTTTGGTACCCTGCATTTTAAAGAAGAATTTTCTCAAACAAGCAATGGATGATAAGAGACTTTTGCTTGAGGCACCTGTTTGGGATCCAGTGTTCTCGGCAGTTTGACAAGTGTGCCATTTTATATCCAGCACTGCAAAGTCGATGCAGGGGAGAATCAAAGCCATGCTGAACTTAATATCGAATAAAACTCAGTATGTTCTTGTGGATGTTTGCTGTGATTAATATAAACTGTTTGAAGGATCAGCTAAGTGTAATCCTGTTGCTAGTATAGTTATCCCCACTCTGGCTGGCACTGAGTGAGCTCACTGGAGTACCAGCCATGGGCCACAGACTAAATGGTCAATGGAAACACATTTCTTAGAGGCTGTGATCATCTCCAAGTGGGGCCTGTGACTTACTAGTGCTTTAGTCTTCAAATAGCACCTTTCACCTCTAGAAATTCATATTTATAAGGCAAAGCTTTAAAACCTCAGCTAGTCTATTTTAATTGTTGATGCAACTGAAGTTCTGTGTTTCTTCAGCTGGATCCATAGACAAGATGCCATGTCACAGAGCTTGTAAGCTCAACTTGAGATCCTTCTGTCTAGGTGATTTGATGGTTTGAGATGTTTGGGGCCTTTTCATTTTATTACATTTCTGGGCCTGATGTTGGACTAAAGGAAACCCAGAAGTATTTATTTAATATTAAAAATTTAATATTTAATGGAACTGGCCCAGTGACATTAAAGGGATTTCTGAAGTCAACCTGGAGGCCATGGATTACATATTGCACTGTTTTTATACCTGTATTCTTATCCTCTTATCACCTCAGAATCAGATGCAAGGCCTTTTAAATCAAGATTTTACAAATTACTGCCATTTGTGTAAAATGATATCCTGTGACTACGTTGTTTAAATGGAAAATAAAGTGCTTTCTTTAAGGAAAATAGTTTGGTGTGTCTCCTGAATTCATTTGCTTTAAGAGAATCCTGCATTGTAGCTGCTGCTGCTTTGGCTACCTTGATTTCCCATCCTATGGACCTGTTCCTAACCCCAAACCATCATTTTCTTGGTTATTTTTCCAGTTTTATGTATCAGGAAACTGCTTGTTTCAGGTGTTGTGTTAGCAGTCACATTTCAAGTCACAGTTTTCTGATAGTTCTGAACTATCTCTTTTGAGGGTTTTACAGGTAGTTTAAAAAGTCCAGGTGGTCTAATCAGAATATTATATGATTATAATATTCATATCCATAATCAGAATACTATGGATTGCCAAGCTTGAGGTGAGCAAAAATAAAGCTTAAGAAAGAAAATAAGCTAGATGTGGTGGTACACAGCTGTAGTCCCAGCTACTCAGGAGGCTAAAGCAAGAGGATGACAAGCTCAAGCCCAGTGTAAGCAACTTAGTGAGATCCTTTCTCAAAATGAAATGAAAAGGGCTCAGGGTTCAATCCCTGGTTCCCCCATCCCAAAAAAGGAAAACTTGAATGGGATCTATTTAGGTCCCTGACGTTTTTATTTGAGGAATTCACCCTTCCTTATCTACAGTCTTGGCATTGAATTAATACTGATATTTGCTTTTGGGTGCTAATATCATCCAATATTCTGTTAACTGTTATACTGTTAAATGTATACAGTGGTTTGGATGGAAAGAAATGAATTACTTTTTGTTCCATTTTCTTAGAATCATCTTAGAAAAGATTATTTTTTTTTTTAGTTTTAAAAACAACTATAATCACATTAAAGACTATTTTCTTTAGTTTTAAAAACAACTATAATTAAAGGAGACAACGTGTGGGGGAAGATTATTGTAGAAGCAGTAAAAGTTCATTTAGGGGTGTTTTATCATATCTTGGTTAATCATCATACATCTTCCATGAGAAAAGGATGCAAGGCACGTTGCAGGTGGTGGAGAGGGATATCCCTTCCAGGAAGTACAAGATGGAGACAGGCACTTTCACTTGAAAAACCATAAGACTTTATTTTACCAATTCACATTTCTAACACACCATATAACAGATCCCTCAGGGCGACAAGGATCTTACTTGTTTTACCATGTGTATTAGTAGATTATTTGAATTGCCACAATAAACATGTATTGGTGATGAAAATTTTTTCCTACCAGGTAATTCTCTAAGACAGCTTATAAGACAAGACCATTTTATCAGTGTACCTTCAAGTACCTTAGAGATAAGTAATTTAACATCTAGATCAAACTGAGCTGAGGACTAGAAGACAAATCCGGTGGCTTATATGAAGTTGCAATTGGGAGCATGAATAGATATTTTAATGGATTGCTGGACTGTCTTTGACAGAGTTATTAACTTTTGGAATTTATGCTTATCAAGGTATATTATATTCATTGACCCAGTTCCTCTAAAAATCAGGATAAGCTGCTACCCTCCAAAGCAGCTGTGTTACATGGTTTGCCATAAGGGGTGGCCAAAAAGGGATGGGTGTTGTAGGACACTTGTCCTCAAACTCTGACCATCCATGCTTCCTTTTCTGAGTACTTACTATATTTAAAGTAGAAGGTTTCTATCAACAGCTCAAATTAAGATATAAGGACACATATTTTCCTTCACAGGCTCAGCAGGCAAAGACTTGTCCTTTTTAAAGTTTACTATGCTAAAAGTGTATAGGATACACTTGAATAGTAGTGTCCTAGACTCTAACTTCATATGATCCCACTGTGCTAAATGCTATAGTAAATGACTAGCAAGAGGATTACAAGTTCAAAAACAAAGTATCTCAGAAACAGACCAGGTCCAGGAATGTACGTGGGTGGGTAGAGATAACATATACACACATTCTGGACCAAATGGCCACTGCATCTGTATTTATGGGTACACAAAAGACTTCTCTTACTCAAGGGATGAGTATCTGACTGAAGGGGTAAGTAATAGTCATGATGGTGCCAACATCTGGAAGTCTGGGAGAATTTCAGCCACCTTCCTGCGGAGCTGCTCTCGCCTTTCTTCTTTCCCCCTTTCGTCTTTCATAAATCTTACAGATGTCTTCCATGTCTGAAATGCTTGGCTGAGAATCCTCCTTTAAAAATAAAGTTGGGAGGAAGGGTAAAATATTAAGGAAAAGTTGACTTTCCAACTGATATACATTTAAACACTATTAAAATAATTATGTGGGGGCTGGGGTTGTGGCTCAGAGGTAGAGCGCTGGCCTAGCATGCCCGAGGTACTGGGTTTGATCCTCAGCACCACATTAAAAAATTAAAGATATTGTGTCCACCTATTAAAAAATAATTATGTGAATAAAAGGTTACATAAAATGTATGGAAATCACAACTGAGATTCAGTAAAAGGGGATGAGAGTGGAGAGGGAGATTATTTATTTTGGTAAGATTGCAGGGAAAGCCTTTCTAAGGAGATGACATTTGAGCAGAGGATCCAGTTGGCCTCTGATAATGCAGGCTATAAGACATGTTTCTCAGGTGATCTGATCACTACCTGTTATTTTGTGCCCAAGTCAGGATCAAGTGATTCCAGCAAGGGCACTGACAGCAACAGCACTCAGGGCAAAGATTTTGGAAAACTACATTCAGAATGTGCCACTACTATGGGCACCGGAACTTTAGTGCTTAGTTATATTTTAAAAGCCTGCTGGTTTCTGGGTACAGTGGTGCACACCTATAATCCCAGAGACTCGGGGGAGGATAAGGCAAGAGGATTACAAGTTCAAAGCTAACCTGGGCAATTAGCAAAAATTGAAAGGAGGCTGGGGATGTAGTTCCCCTGAGCTAATTCCCAGTACTGCAAAAACAAACAAAAATAAATGCCTTCTGATAACGTCACTTCCAACAAGAATAAAAACAAAAAATCAGGAAAAATAGAAAAGTCTGACTCCAGTTGAGAAAAAACCTAACATTAATTATGGAAGCATGGTTAAGGAGGGCCACTGAAGCTTTGTCTCTATGATCACAGGAAAGCATGCAGGAGCAGGCTCCATCTGAACACCAGCCATGTACAGGAGAGCCAGGAAATCTACCCAAGGAGGCAGTTAAAGTGAACCAAGAGTTTCAGTATAGTGGGAAGGGACCTCAGTGGTGAGAAGGACAGGGGCTGCCCAGTCTGGTGATGAGGAGTGTCCGAGGCTTTTGAAAGACATGATCTCTGAACAGCATTTTAGGGCAAAGGAAAGGCTTTCCCAGAAGAGGGTGCATCTTGAATAAAGGCAAAGAGGCAAGAATAGCCGAGCATGTGTGAGGAATTACAAGAGCAGTTATGTTGAAACAGAGGTCAGAGTAGTTTATATTTTCACAACTGGAGGAGGGATTTGTTCTAGCCTCTGAAACACCCAATGAAGCCTGGAATGAGTCTCAATTCTTATTAGTTTTATGGCTGTTGGTTATCTGATATTTTGGATAAGGTTGATTTTTATTGGTAGAAAGTATGAGAGAAAGAGGGGGGACAAGGGGGAGTGTGCACATGGAGCTTTGAACTTTTTATCCATCCAGTCCATCATTTACAGCTTCCTGTACTCATCTCTAGGGCCCTGTATTAGTCAACTTTTTATCACTTTGAGACAAAAATACCTGACAAGAACAACTTAGAGGAGGAAGAGTTTATTTTAGTTCACAATTTCACAGGTCTCAATCCATGGTTATCTGACTCCATTGCTCTGGCCTCAGGTGAAGCAGAAGGTCATGGCAGAAGACCATGGTAGATGAAAGTAACTCAAATCTTAACAACCAGGAAGCAGAGAGCACAAAAAAAGTGTGGGGGGGGGATATATATAATCCCCAAGACACTCCCCCAGTGACCCATTTTCTCTAGCAATGTCCCACCTGCCTGGAGTTACACTCCAGTTACCTGGAGTTCATTTAAATTATTAATCCATCAAGTGAGTTAATCCAATGATTAGGTTATAGCTTCCACTATAGCATTTCACCTTTTATATTAACACAGGAGTTTTTCAGGGGCATCTTGTATCCAAACCACAACATTCTGTCTTGTCCCCAAAAGCTCATGGCCATCTCATAATGTAAAATACATTAGTTCATTTCCAAGAGTCCTTATAATCTTAACAGTTCAAGCATGGCCCAAAAGTCCAAGTCCAAAGTCTCATCTGAGACTTAAGGCTAACTGTTGGTTGTAAGCCCTTGTAACAATCAAAAGCAGATTATGTATATCCAATATATATGGCGCAGTGTTACGGTTTAGATATGAGATATGCCACAGAAGCGCCCCTGAGAGACAATGCAAGAAGTTTAGAGGTGAAATGGACTGTTATGAGAGTCTTAACCTAATCAGTGCATTAATCCACTTGAATAGATAGTAGGGTATGACTGGAGGAGATAGGACACTAAGGGTGTCACTTTGGGGTATATATTTTGTCCTTGGTGATAGGCAATATCTCTCTCTGCTTCCTGATTGTTATGTCCTGAGCTGCTTTCTTCATGTCCCTCTGCTCTGATGTTTTGCCTCACCTTGGATCCAGAGCATTGGAGATGGATGTGTGTGGACTGAGATCTCTGAAAATATGAGTGCCAAATAAACTTTTCTTCATCTAAAATTGTTCTAGTCAGGTCTTTTTGTCACAGCAGTGAAAAAGCTGACAAAAACACACAGAGTAAACATTTTCATTATAAAAGGGAGGAATAGAGGCATAGGAAGAAGGGATGAGACCAAAGTAAGATCTAGCTGGGAAAATAGGTCCTGTAGCTCCACATCCAGCACTGAGGACTCACAGTGGTGAGATGTGATCTCCAAAGGGCTTGGGCAGCCCCATCTCTATGACCTTGCTGGTTGCATCCTACATGGTCTCTCTCTTGGGTTGGCCCTCTCTGAGGCCAGCAGCTTTTCTCAGCTCCCAGTCCCTATCATTTTCATCTGTTAATTCCTGGGGTCTCCACTATAGCTTCAGCTTCACCTTCACAGCTTCATGCATTGCAGTCTCAAGGGCAGCTGATAGGGATTCCAGTCCTACTAT